GTCGATTTTCGGACAGGAGTTAGTTCTCGATGTCAGCTACATTTTGTTTTCACATTTCAACTTCAAAAAATGCACTTAAGTCCCTGCGATTTAGCCTGGAAAGTGACGAATTCAAGTGAATATTGGAGGCCCAATTGCACATTCAAAGCCCATTTTCTTTACCCTAATTTCCACTATATAATCACCTTCTTGTCACACAAACCAGGGGGGAGAAAAAAAGAAAAAAAGGAAGAGAAAAAGAGAGAAAAAACCTTGCCACAACACTGTTGGAATATCAAACTCTTTCAAGAACCCTAAAACCTTGAAATCCTTATTACAAATCCCTCTCTCACTACAAACAAAGTCATCTCAGTTACAAACCAACATCTTATTACTTCTTCAGTAAGGGTAAGGCTGGCTTGATCTCCATGATCCAAAGGGCATAAAAGCATTCATGTCACTACTTTTCCAGTAAGGGTAAGGTTGATTTGATCTCCATGATCAAAAGGGTATAATCATTCATACATGCCATATTGTGCCTAAACATTAAATTTTTTCATATATTGGCTTTATTTGCATTTTATGATTTTATTTGATGTGTTTGTGAGATTCAACACTGCAGATTTAGACAGGATCCCAGGCAGGTTCATTAAGGAACGTTGAGGCCAAAAGCCAAATGGCCAAAAGCCAAAAGCCAAATGGCCAGACTAGAAAAACTTATGCATGACACCAATACATGGCGAGACAGACATTAAGCCAGAGATTAAGGGAACGTTGAAGCCAGAACACAAATGGCCAAAAGCCAAAAGCCAATTGGCCAAAGTAGAACAACTTATGCATGAAACTCAATCCAATGGCCAAAGAATGCAGACCACGGTACTCAGGAGTCAATACTCTCAAAAAACCTCCCCTTGGGCCAGACACCCCCCTGGTTTGCTAGTTTTATTTATTTTTCTTATATTTCCTTTAATTATTATTTTACTTGTTTTGTTGTTTTAATTTAATAATTATTTTTATAAAACATGAAAAATATCATAAAAAATCAGAAAAAGGCAAAAATATAATATTTATTTTAATTTAATTATTTCCATAAATAAATTACATGTAAATATTTAGCTTAATTAGGTTGCAATTTTAATCCCTTTTAACAAAAATACAAAAAATAGAATTAGGTTTAATTTTTATTCCTTTAATTTGTTTCTTTTTATAATATTTATTTATTTATTTTTTATAATTAAATTGTACATAAAAAAAATTAGGTTTAAATTAGTTAAAATTTTAATATTTTCATAATAAATCTAAAAAACACTAGGATTAGGGTTTCCATTTCAAATTTCATTCTAATAAATTCTTTTTCTTTTAAATCTTAAAAAACACAAAATACCAAAAACATTTTCTTTTGATTTTTAATTGTAATTTCTCATTAACTTTAATTTTTGCAAAAGGGTCCAACGCCCACATTGTTAATTATTTAATTTGCGCATTTATTTTATGTCATTTATTATAATTATGTAATTCTCCCAAAGCATTGTAACGATTTTACTTTTCGCACTTTTACTTCGCTTTATTTATTTTCCGTCAAATCGGGTCCGGTTTAATTTTGGCGATGTGGACCCGCGCCATTTGTAATAGTTTAGATTTATTTCCGCAACTTTTTAACTGTTAACAAATGCATGCAAGAATAAATGACAAAAATAAAAACAAACGCTAGATCACAATGACATGACAAAAGACAAAAATAACTGAAAACGACACACAAATCACACACCACCCCTAGGGTACGCCTCACTGTTGCCTTGCCTCGAAAGGTGATCGTCGAGTAGAGGATGTCTTAGTAAGTCCTCATGATCCGAGAACCTGGCATGAGGGTAGCTTCTAAGGTGTCTTCCCATTGCTCCGGTGATCACCATGTCCCGAACCTCGAATTGACCCGAACCTCGAATTGACCCGAACACCTCCAACGGTGGTGCTACCTACCTCTCAATGGTGGGATGGCACTACTTTAAAGGACATTTACACAGACGAATTCCTTAGGGTAGGTAGACGACTCTAGATACTTGCTCTAAATTCAAAACAAATTCAAAAATACTTTTCACACCGACACCTTTTCAAAAAAGCTTTCGAAAGCAATTTTTCAAACACTCTTGAGGACCGATACAAGAGTCGAACTGGAATTTTCAAAGAAACTTTTTAAAACCCACAGTTGAAAAGCAAACAAACCATTTTTGAAAACACAATGAGCAAGTATCTAAGAGCCCATGGATAACCATGGATAGAAAGGGTGCTAACACCTTCCCTTTCTATAATCTACCTCCCGCACCGAGAGCAATCTCTTTAAGGAATTTTTCTGTGCTTTTGTCCTTTCCATTTGGAGAAAATAAAAGACGGTGGCGACTCTTGCTTCCGCGAAATTTCGCGAACCAGCCTTAAACAGTCAGTTCCAGATCCACCGATCACACTAACCATAACATTTGCGATCAAACGCAAAACAACCAAGTCAGTTCTCCCACCGCGTTACAGAACTGGCGACTCTGCTGGAGATGTATTTTAAAAGTGGGGTTACCTTAGGGTTAGATCATATTTATTTACTTTCATTGTTTGACTTGTATGCTTCACGTTATGGTTCGTTGTTTGGGTTTGGAATCATCTACCCAGATTTGGGATACCTTATAGGTAAGTAGCAATACACTGTGGAAACTGTGTGGGGTATACCGACATGGTCAAAGTAATAACTACGTTAGTGTGGCATATTTGTGGGTACTGGTAGCCCTTTGAGTAGCCAAGGAGAATACGGGACCGCTGAGTGATGTCATGAAGCACTAACTAACTTCTAAAACCTTTACTTGACCAACTTGGCCATTAGGACGTAATGAGATGACCGACTTTGGTGCAGTCTGAAGTTGGTAGATACTCGATACTACACTCATTGAGGTTTGGTTTTTTGGGATATTTCGGTCGCTATTAAAGAGGCTTACGCTAAAACAATGCCCAAGAAAACAAACCAGTGATATTGAGCTCCTTAGAACCCAGTTACTATTGTTAGGACAGGTTTGAGCCAACTAAACTTCAAGAGGGTACTTACCTAAGAGACTCCATGCAAGCTTAAACTTAAGGATTGGTTTGCTTTGTTTGTATATATTTACTTGTACATAACATCATAAACATCATAACATCATACTCATACTCACTAACCATTTCAAGGATTTTTTGGATTTATCTTTGTTTTGTTTTGTAGGACATGGATTCTATTCGCAGGAAAACCATTCAAGTCAATCTCGTAAGGATCCCTCTCAACAAAAATTTGGAACCTATTCAACTAAAATATTCAAAAGATCAAGGCATCAAAGTTACTGTACATAGAAAGAAAACAAAAGAGAGAAAACATTCAAAAGATATCAAAGAACACAAAGAGTTGTTGCTCAGATTTGTGTTAACTTCTTTTCTCTAAAAACACAAGAGTTGTTGCTCATTATTGTGTTATTTATCATTGTTGTATACACAAGAGTTGTTGCTAATATTTGTGTGTAAATATTTGTTCTTCATTAAAGTGTTAAATCTGCTTTTTAGAAGCAATCTTGTATACACTATTTGATTGTAAATCTTTCTAGATTTGTTTTCTCAGGTGACTAAATTGTAGTCATAATTACTTGATAAGACTAAGATGTTTTTCTAAACTCTTTGAGGTTGTTGTAATCTTTGTAGATTATTGGATTAAGTCTTTTTTTAAGGAAAAATCACCTTGGCGGATGGACAAGAGTAGCTTTTTCTAAGTTGAACTTGTATAAATCAAATGTGTAACTTTTCTTTCTTGCTTAGTTATCATTATTTGTTTGTGAGAAGCATTCGTAAAAGAAATTGTTTTTGAAAACCCCAATTCAAACCCCTCTTTTTTGTATTTTTCTCAACGTTCAGTTTTATCATTAAATGAGGACAACTCTTAAACTTTATTCTACAACAACCTTTACTCACTTCACCAAAGTCTTCCTTAGAATATGAAGAAAACTCTACTCTTCCATGATAAGCAACAATCAACAATTTGAAAAAGAAACAATCATTTTTCTTAATACAAAAGGAAAAACTTCACACAAAAAAACATTAAATTCCCTAATTTATCTTAATCTACCTCTCACACTCAATCTTTAGAGTTGAGCACCATAACAATGAATTCTCGATATAAGATTGTAGATGAATAATATCATCTAAATTATATCACACAACTCAACTACTAACTTCTCAAACTTTTAACATTTTAGAAAGTTTTTCACAAAGTTGGATCATGGAGATAGTGTGTTTGTGAATGAATAAAACTTTTTATGGTTTTACGAAATATTGCCTATTTTTAAATTAATAATACAAATTTCACATAGATATTTTTTTGTCATTTTAGAACATATCCATGATGATTAAATAATATTAATTATTAATAATTTACAACAATATCTTGCACCACAAAAAGACCTTATCCAAATTGTAATAGCAATACCTATATCAAATATCTTTCTTTGTAATGTGCTTGAAAAATGAATGACGAGGCCACATATCAAGCAACATAAGATGTCCGAGTGCTTTTAATATTTGAAGGCATAAGAACATTATAGAGAGAAGAAGGTATAAGAAGGAGATGAGAGAAGAAGGTGGCGGCCAGGGTTTCGGAGAAGGGAGGAGAGAAAGAGAAAAAAACTCGCAAGAATAAGGCGACATAGATAATAATTCTCAAAAAAGTCACATAAGTAAAAGTTAATGTTTTTCACAAAATTTAACATAATAGATCAATTAGACTAACCAAATTGTTCTCAAGGGTTTAACATGTAACATTTTTTAGATAAAAAATAAAAGAAAATATTAAATTAAGTCAAGAGATTAAAAGATAAAGAAAACATTAAACATAAGTTAAACCCAAAAATAAGTTGAATGCTACTTGATTTATTTATTTATTTTCAAATTAAACTCAATAAGTTATACAATTATTCTCAATAAATTATAAAGTTTATAAGAATAAATATAACTAAAATCTATCGAATTCAAACTTCTTCACCATTCCAAGAAATCTTTACCTTTGGACCTGTTGGCCCTTCCTCTCCAAGCATTTCTTTGGGTAAACCATTAATAATATTTTCAAAAACATCTTTTAGCTTACCAGGCAAAAACTTCTCCAGCTTTCTCAATTCATCATCTAGTTTATAGTCAATTGTTGGACCCCATTGCCTTAAAAAATTCAACCATGCTGGCTCCTTAACAGACCCTAAATAATCTGCAGAAACCAACACAAATTTTCCCATATCCACAATATTATTACTTTTATCAGTATCATCTCTTACCCCTACTCCATTTTTCCCTAGTAGAACAAGACCAGCATGCGGATATGTTGCATGTCCATGCAATGAAGCATAAACAACCGGTTTTTCTGTTGGAAAATCAAAATTGCCATTATCAGATTGGAACTCAAGTAGAGATGAATCAACCCATGAACCTTTACTATGTTGTGAGAAATACATTTTCCATAGTTGACCATCCAAATTACTTACCCTCAATGTTACATGCTCCCAATCACCAACATGTTGACCTATTTTCCCTAATTTAATATTTATAAACTCTACTTTTGCTCTTGCGGGTCCATTAAAAGGGTAATAAATCCACATTGCAAAATCTGTGAATGTTCCTCCAAACATTGGTTTCACATGTACATAAGATTCAGCATTGTCAAGATCACCTCGTTTCACCCTATCTTTGTTGTCATCATCAACAGGTAAGTCTATCCAGTAAGCATCATCAGTGTTAGGATCCTGAGGAAGGTTAGTGCCATTTTGTTGTATTGGAACGGGATTTGATTCATCACCTTTCTTGTATAGTAATGCTCCATTGGAGAATAACCAATTAACCGTAGAAGGGAAGTAATCTTCGTCGGAATGTAGGAATAGAAATGGAGAGTAAACTTGAAGTATTGCCTCGATTTGTTTCTCATTAGGCATGATTTTAGAAATGGAATTGAGATTCTTCAAACATGCAACAGATGGAGTTTTATTATCACCTAGCCCAAAATGGCCAACGAAGGTTCCGGCACGAATACCGTGACCTTGTGTTCCCCTAATGCTTGGTGTAACATCGTAAATATTATTATCATTGACTCCCCAAATCCATTCAGAAAAATCACATTGTTCTGTGAGGTCTGATCTGACACACATGACTTTATTGAGGGGAGGTTTGTCTGGTGTTGTGGTGACAACATGGCCTAATGCCTTATAGCCATTAGGTGATGATGGTAGCCAAATATACAAAGTGGAATCCTGATTAGAGGAGAGGGTTGAGGTGTCAAACAGAAGTACATAATCAACCGGTGGCTTCAAAGTGCCATTAGAAACATCCTTTGCGACAAGAACATATCCAAAAAGAGGTTTGTTGTTAGGTTGGACGTAGCTACCTAACATGGAGAATCCTTCAGGTATATCTTTCGGTTCGTACACTGAGGCTCCTTGACCGTCTTGGCCACCATCATAGACACCCCAAATTTTGCTGAATGTTGATACTTGAGACACTTGTAACCCGCCGACGTCGAGGACTCCACCGCCGAAACCGTTACCTACATGTTGCAATTCAAAACTAGCTATAATTAGATTATGCATTTCATGAATATACATCACAAAGATGATAATACAAAATGATGATGAGATAATGTATACCTTCTGGCCAAGAAGTTGTTGTAATTGGAAGTTTGAATGTGAAGTCAATGGGGCGAGTGCGGGATTGTAGTTCCTGTTGCGTTTTATTCAAGACTTTCTTATTATCTGCAGACAATAACAATTGAGACAATTTGAATCTAAGAAATTATAATTCTAAAAATTAATTATAAATAATTTGATATTAAATTTAAAATATTACTGTTAAAAATTAAATTTAAAATATAAATATAATTCTGTCATTTTATAATCTAGAAATGTTTTTTTAAAAAATGTTATAATTATTTTGTATTAAAACTATGATAATATGAAGGACAAAAATAAATATAAATATCTACCACAATGTTACTTTTACACAATATTCGTTTTATGTATTTCTAAGTTATCTTTCATGTTTTTAATTTAAGAAAATTGAAAATTTGTAGTATTAATAATTTTTAAAATATAATATGGGGTTTTGTTAATTTGCAAAATTTTCAGATAAAGAAGTTTGAATTGTAGATATATAAAATTATTAATTAATTTTGAAAAATATATAATTGTTTGACGAGAGAATTTTTGTCTATTAAATCAAACAAATATTCTACTGTGAGACTTGTATCGATTTATTCATATAACATTTTATATAAAATAAACTGATCGGTCATTTTGTTTTAATAACATTCTTGCCGTATGAAAGGCATCCGAGCGTATCAGACGTTTGAAATACAATAAAGTCATCATGAATCTTTATTTATTTCTAAAGAATAGAAAAATGTCAAATAAAATTTATGAAGAAAAAGAATAATCGTCACAATAATGAACGAGCTCATGAGTTAATTATGTGAAGGGATGATATTACTATTGTATTCTTTATACCTATCTCATTTTTGAAAAATAAGCAAACTTAAAAATGAAAAATAAGTAATAAAAGTACCTGAAATTTGATCCATTGGTGCAATTCTAGGAACAACCCTCGTTGCTTCAATAGCCATGAAAAACACAACACAAACACAAATAAACCCCACATAATTCATACCCATTTTTATAATCACTTATTTTCTCACAACCTTTATAAAATATTTAGCTCTCAGTTTGATATTCACCTTTTCCCTATAAATATAAGTGGACTGCGTCGGGTTTTGGGGAGAGATACCCTCACTCTGTCCCTTATTATTAAATTACATTTTTATAAAAAGTTATTTATATATATTTGGTAAATTCTAATTTTCCACTTTTGGTTATGATGATACCTTATATGTCTTTTTCTGATAAGGACGAATGAATGTACAAAAGAGTAATGTAATAAAATATATGTACAAGGATCTGTTGAGTCAAAGTAAGACAAGAAATGTTGCGAGAATATCCGTTTTTATGACGTATATATGCTTAGTAGTTAATACAAGATGTGGTAAGACACTTGAGTCAGCTAAAATAAGTTACTGTAGTTAATTAAAGAAAAACAATTTCAATGAATTACTAAAACACAAATATCACATGCTAAATATGGAGGTACACTTAAAAAAACTTTACTATAATTATATAACATCCGCAAATATAATCAATTTTCCGTCTTAAATTTTTTAAAACTCTATATAATATCTTTAAGTTAGGCAAAGTTCCATTTGACATAGCATACAAAGTGTGGAGTGCAAGATGTGTGGAAATATGAGTGAATCAACTCTTTATAAATGCTAGAATTGTGAGCCTAGAGGTATATAGTTATGAAATACATATTCCATAGTTATGAGGTACATATTCCATAAATCTTATGAGTATATTTCATGGAAGCATCATAGTCTATGCGAAATATTGATTCTAGAATTGATAGAATAAAGAAGATCGTTATAATGAAAGTTTTTATATAGAGATTTTAATAAATATAATTAACTATTATTTAATCATAATTAACTTGAAACTACCTTAAACAATATTCAACAAATTCTAACAAATTTGAAACTATATATCTCTAACAAAATAAATGGTTATTGGTCATGTTTGATTTATTGAAATAGATGAGTCCACATACAACTTAATAAAAAATTAAATAAATAAATCTCATGGACAGAAGCAAAATTATGGGAAGTGATTTCTGCAAATGTTACACAGATATGCTAGTTTCCAAAAACCTACTATTTTATGAAATTTATTTATTGCAGCAATCAAATAAGATTCTACTCTTTTACTCATAAGTTAATTACTTTACAGAAGTATGGTTGGATTTTTAGTAGATATTCAATGCTATAGAGTTTGAGTTACTTCAAACAGTTGAAGACTAAAAGTTAAAAAATAGATTATAATGAGCCAAAACGTTTACACAATGCAGAACAACGGTGTTTGTAGACAACACACGTGCAAACAATAATGTTTTGTACATGATCTTTACCCGTTCACTATAAAATAAATTGTGTTTTATCGCGTGATTGCTACGTCGCTAACACTAAAATCATGTCACAATTTTATTTTTGCCACCTGAAAAAATACGTCGCTGGAGAGCGCGTGACAATGTTGTTGCGACGTGGGAAACATGTCACAATGTTGTCACGTAAAATTCACGCCGCAACAAACTTTATGGGGTCAAAGGCAATCAGAGCAGAGCAGAGGTCAGAGCAGGTTTTATATTAACTTTTACGTTGTGTATTGCGGCGTATTTTTCACATCACTAATTTGTGACGTGGAAAACATGTCGCAACTTATTTTTTATTTTTTTTAAAATTATTTTCTGTTTTAAATATAATAATTCTGATATAATAATTAATATTATTTTCTGTTTCATTAAATTTATAAATTAAATACTATAATTTATTTATTAAATTCAATATTATAAATCAAATTATCAAAAATAAAACTAAATATATCAAAATATATAAATTAATATACTTAATATAATAAAATTAATAAACTAAAATTTAAATATAATATTTTTAAATATAAAATATGATTATAAATTTATATTAGTACACAAATAAAAAAACTAAATAGAAAATAAAAATAAAACTAAGTAGAAGGATCATTCGAGTCGTCGGAAAAGTCGCGAAGAAAGTCATCATTATTTTGGTGGTTATTATTTTGGCCACCATTGTTGGGATTTCCACCAAATGCTTGCATAAATTATCGCATTTGCTCCTCCATATCAGCCTGCCTCTTCGCCATTGCCTCCATTTCTCTATTATGTTCACCCCTCATTGTCTCAATTTGGGCCTTCAATGCCGCCTCCATTTGGGCCTTCAATGCCGCCTCACGTTCTTCGGACTCGCGTCTAGCCAATTGTCTTACCGTTTCTAACTGATCTGGTGTCAAATTTGTTTGACGTGACCCTCCTTCACTGTCTGCAGCTCTCTGATACAGAGTTCTATCCCCCACTCCTCAAGGTGCCCGCCAAATTTCCACCACCAAAAAAACATCCGTTAGGCCCTTTTCACCCAACAACTTGACTCCAAATATAGAAATCCACATCTGGATGAACCGGTTTTCCCGGAGGAGGAGTATACTGAGGATTATGGGTCAGAAATTCTACAAGCAAGGCCTGATAATCCTCCTACACATACAATAAAAAAATCAAGTTAAATATATAAGTAAAGTTAATGAAATTAAATTAAATAAAAAAAATAAAAAACATATAGCCACGTGATTGTAATGCCACAACTTATCAGTTGCCACTCAATTTTCACGCCACAACATCTCACTTGCCACGTGAAAATATATATATATATATATATATATATATATATATATATATATATATATATATATATATATATATATATATATATATATATATATATAAACATAAATTTACTTACCAGGGCTTTTTTTGTACGCTCGTCAATAAATTCCCCCAATTTCTTTGTCCGAGTTTTGGTAACCAGCTCAGTCATCAATGGTTGTCTCCCCAAATGTTTAGCCTAAATAAAAAAATTAACTTAAATTAATAATATATGTTATAAATTCAAATATGACTTTAAAAAGTGGTAATAATTACCATGCGTCGAGCATGCTCAACAGTACCAATACTTCCAACAACATTAAGGCAACTCCCTTTTTCTGATGCCCTCATCTTCTTTGCAATTTCAGATTTAGCCTTAAATTCATCCGATTCCCAATACTTAAGAAGTTGTTCAAAAACTTCTTTGCCTATCCATTTGGGACGAATGCCCAAAAGTTGCCAATTCTCTCTAACACGTCGTAGCATGTCAGAAAGTCGTCTTGAACTCCTGCCAAAATAATTTTTTTTAACTTTGTTATGGTTCAGTGGATCCCAAACATATTTCACCTGCAATGTTGTATGAGATTAAAATAAATAGTTAGATAAATTATAACAATAATGAAAAGGTCATTTAAATAAAAATAACATAAGAAATAAATTAATTATACTTGAAATTGCTTAAACCATTCGTCTTTATCCGAAACTTCTCTAAAACTCTTCAAATTTTTTGTATAATTCTGCTGAATTATATAATTTATAACCCTGGCAGCAGTCCGACTCGGTCCGAAACTAAAACAACAATAATTGAATTAGCATAATTAAGTATATAAAGTTATATTAAAAATAAAAATGTGTACTTATAAATAAAAATCAATAAATAAGAAACTTACGAGTTCCCTTCAGGCCAAATCCAAAATCTCCCATCAATGGTATGAATCTTACTCGGATCATCATCCCCTCGAAGATCTCTCCCATCTATCTGATCATCGTCCACACCAAGATCGTCATCATCCGATTCTACATGATCATCGGATGCAGGTATATGTGTGGGATGTGGGATGCGACCAGTCTGTGTGGGTCGTGAATAGGTGGATCCTCTAGGCTGCTGGACGGATGGGAGCATCTGTGTAGGAAGTGGGGTGTTGGATCCTCCAGGCTGCTGCACGAATGAGGGTATCTGTGTAGGAAATGGGGTTCTGTATCATCCAGGCTGCTGCACGAATGAGGGTATCTGTGTGGGAAATGGAAAACTGTGCTGGAAGGATGAGGGCACCTGTGTCTGCTGGAATGGTAAACCAGGTGGGGCCCCAGATGGACTAATAAAAGATGGACTCCCAGATGAGAACTGAAGAGGACTCTGAGAGGATAGTAATGGTGTAAAAGGCATAGTACTGTCCATGGACATATGATGAACCTGACTCTACGGGGGAGGACACGTGGCAGAGTGAGGTGACTGGCATACTACTACCCTTGTACGCCTAGGCTTCCTACCACTATCACTAGGACTTTTACCCTTATTATCATTGGGTGGCATTTTTACCTATTTATAGAAAATAAAAGTTAACATATAATATATTTGAAAAGCACAATTCTCATTAATACATATTCATTAACTCATTCAAGAGATGGTTCGTTAAGTAAAATTACAAGACACAATTCTCATGAATACATATTCATTAACTCATTCAATAGATGGTTTGTTAAGTAAAATTACAATACAAAATTCTCATTAATATAGGTTCACTATTCTAAATCGTCATGCTCGTCATCCATATCATCCTCGTCATCTGATGTGATATTGTCTTCGGATCCAGAATCTTCATGATCTTCATCCTCATTAACTTGATTCCCCTCAACCATTGTATCAGACAAACTTGTAGTGTGTTCATCTGGAATCACATCATTAACTTCAACTTCATTAACTTGATACGCAACATCTTCCACTAGATCGCCAGTTTCAATATGACCCAATGGTTTTGTTTTTATTACACCACAACACCATCGTTTACGTGGCACAAATGAAGTATAAGGAACATAATAAACTTGCCTAACAATATTTGACATTATGAAAGTGTCGTACTCTTTGTACCTCCGGTCCATTTGAATCTCAACAGTACCATATGTCTTATCTATTTTTGTGCCTCTAGTTGGATCATACCATTCACAATAAAACAAGACAACTTTATTTTCTGAGTCCAAGTAATTGTATACTAACTCGTAGATATGTTTAACAAAACCATAGAAGTCATCTTAACCACCATCTGTAACTCCTTTCACAAATACGCCACTGTTTATGGTTTTTTCCCTTCAGTTCATTCATGAGTGTGAAATTTATAT